TAATTATTACGCTTAATACAGGAAATACATCCTGGTGTATTAAAGATTATTAAATGAATATTAGAAGTGTATGAAGCCTAATACAGGAAATACATCCTGTTGTATTAGGGATGAGAATAACTGTTGGAAATTTCCAACAACCTGGTCCACCCAAGCTCCTGGTCCACCCAAGCTCCTGGTCCACCCAAGCTCCTGGACCACCCAAGTACCTGGTCCACCCAAGCTCCTGGTCCACCCAAGTACCTGGTCCACCCAAGTACCTGGTCCACCCAAGCTCCTGGTCCACCCAAGTACCTGGTCCACCCAAGTACCTGGTCCACCCAAGCTCCTGGTCCACCCAAGTACCTGGTCCACCCAAGTACCTGGTCCACCAGGAAAAAGCAACAGAAGAAAGGATCAAGTACAAAACAAAATTCAAAACTCAAAGAACTGACAAGAGATAAATTGAATCATCTTTATAAACCTCGCGAGAGGTTTATTGCCAAGTGCCCACCCTAGGCAGTGCCAACCTCAGGCAGTGCCCACCCTAGGCAGTGCCAACCCTAGGCAGTGCCAACCAAAGAACACCCAAGTACTTGCTAGTCTCAGTGTTATGTTATCTAATAACATTTTAAATCAACAGTTCAGACAAGAACAAACTAGTTAGCTCAGCTGGCGCGCGACCCAGGGGACACAGGTGGAAACTGAGTACATAAATGACCCACAGAGACGTTAGAAAGAATTTCTCATAATTAACGAATAGATATCGCCAGGAAGTGATGTGGTGGAGGCTGACTCCACACAGTTCCAGATGTCGCAATAACAGAGCCTAATAGGCTATGGAACGTATACACCAGTCGATTAAGAGGCGGGGCCCAGGAGCCGTAGCTCATCCCCTTGCAAGTACAACAAGGTGAGTGCCTAAACACTAAGTAATCATGAGCTCCAAGACCGAAGCTTACCAGTTATTTGCCTGCTGAGGATATCTAGAGTCGTTCTACTTCCGCAGTCTGGTCTGGGGCCGGGTGTACCTGGGAGGGGGAGGGGGTGTACCCCGGGTGTACCTGGCCAGTACCACCAGGTCATGTCAGGGGACGTAACTGTACCATGGGGGGGGGGGCGGGGGGAGGACACTTGTTTACGCTGGGAACCAGGTCAGGTAACACAGGCCTTAGGCTGTGTACTCGTCCCAGCTCCCACCGTCCCAACCCGTCCTCCCACCACCACCACGACGCTGTTCGTCAGTTTCACCGTACTGCCCAATACTTTCCTTCCTGCCCAGCTGTCCAAGCCTCTGTGTTGCACATCTCTCAGTTTATTGCTGACCTGTAACACTATTGAGGTGTATAATATTTGTTGATTGGTTAGGCAATTTTTGATGGGTCCCATACCCACCCTGTGTGTGGTAGTGGACCCCATACCCACCCTGTGTGTGGTAGTGGACCCCATACCCACCCTGTGTGTGGTAGTGGACCCCATACCCACCCTGTGTGTGGTAGTGGACCCCATACCCACCCTGTGTGTGGTAGTGGACCCCATACCCACCCTGTGTGTGGTAGTGCACCCCATACCCACCCTGTGTGTGGTAGTGGACCCCATACCCACCCTGTGTGTGGTAGTGGACCCCATACCCATCCTGTGAGTGGTAGTGGACCCCATACCCACCCTGTGTGTGGTAGTGGACCCCATACCCACCCTGGTGTGGTAGTGGACCCCATACCCATCCTGTGAGTGGTAGTGGACCCCATACCCACCCTGTGTGTGGTAGTGGACCCCATACCCACCCTGTGAGTGGTAGCGGACCCCATACCCACCCTGTGAGTGGTAGTGGACCCCATACCCACCCTGTGAGTGGTAGTGGACCCCATACCTATCCTGTGGGTGGTAGTGGACCCCATACCCACCCTGTGAGTGGTAGTGGACCCCATACCCACCCTGTGAGTGGTAGTGAACCCCATACCCATCCTGTGGGTGGTAGTGGACCCCATACTTGACCCACATAAGGGTTATGGCTAAGCAAGTTACACTGGGGATAAGCCAGCAGCTACACAGCCTGGTGTAGACACGAGGACAAGTGTCTCCTGGTGTAGAGGACAAGTGTCTCCTGGTGTAGAGGACAAGTGTCTCCTGGCCGTCAAGGACAAGTGTCTCCTGGCCGTCACCAAACACAAGTGGTTTATGGAGACCAAAACAAGTTATCCATCACCAAGGAGCCTGGCGGTAAACAAGCAGTGCGCTAATGGTCGTTATCCAGGCCCTTGGAGGCAACAGGAGTCGAAGCGGCCGGTGTGACCTCACTACTAGAACCTCCTACCCTCCCCCGACCACCCCGCCCCAGGCCCTATAACCCCCTCCCCCCACCACCCCGCCCCAGGCCCTATAACCCCCTCCCCCCACCACCCCGCCCCAGGCCCTATAACCCCCTCCCCCTATCCTCTGCCCTACATTTCTCTCCCTTACATTCCGACCTCACCCTTCTGCCCTATTTTTGCGCGGGAGGCCGCCATGCGGAATGGGTTACCTGACATTGGCCGCCCGGGGCGCTGGAGGGGACCGGGGGGACCGGGAAGGACCGGGGGACTACTCCAGAGGACTTTCGCACGCACAAACTTCCTGTTGTGGTCCCCGCGGCCTCCTTTAACGTAAGACCAACTCTCAATACATGTTTTTATGACGGAGGATCATTTTAGCGTGGGAAACAGGTCGAGTCTTAGACTGAGGGACTAAGACATACATTCCGTTCTTGATATGACTGTAGGCTCTCTACTACAGTCAGATACAATCACTTCAAAACATGATTGTAGGAGTTCAATGTATACTCAACCACCTAGAAGCTATACTCAGAAATACTGTTGTGTTCTGATAGGCAACAGCTCCATGGAGTCCTGAATTTTGTTCTTTTAGATTCAGCAACTGGGAACAAAACGTTCCAAGTAGCACGGGCTATGGTGAGCCCGTAGTGGACTTACAGGGCACAGGAGCGGGGCAAGTAGCACGGGCTATGGTGAGCCCGTAGTGGACTTACAGGGCACAGGAGCGGGGCAAGTAGCACGGGCTATGGTGAGCCCGTAGTGGACTTACCTGGCACAGGAGCGGGGCAAGTAGCACGGGCTATGGTGAGCCCGTAGTGGACTTACCTGGCACAGGAGCGGGACAAGTAGCACGGGCTATGGTGAGCCCGTAGTGGACTTACCTGGCACAGGAGCGGGGCAAGTAGCACGGGCTATGGTGAGCCCGTAGTGGACTTACCTGGCACAGGAGCGGGGCAAGTAGCACGGGCTATGGTGAGCCCGTAGTGGACTTACAGGGCACAGGAGCGGGGCAAGTAGCACGGGCTATGGTGAGCCCGTAGTGGACTTACCTGGCACAGGAGCGGGACAAGTAGCACGGGCTATGGTGAGCCCGTAGTGGACTTACCTGGCACAGGAGCGGGGCAAGTAGCACGGGCTATGGTGAGCCCGTAGTGGACTTACCTGGCACAGGAGCGGGACAAGTAGCACGGGCTATGGTGAGCCCGTAGTGGACTTACCTGGCACAGGAGCGGGGCAAGTAGCACGGGCTATGGTGAGCCCGTAGTGGACTTACCTGGCACAGGAGCGGGGCAAGTAGCACGGGCTATGGTGAGCCCGTAGTGGACTTACCTGGCACAGGAGCGGGACAAGTAGCACGGGCTATGGTGAGCCCGTAGTGGACTTACCTGGCACAGGAGCGGGGCAAGTAGCACGGGCTATGGTGAGCCCGTAGTGGACTTACCTGGCACAGGAGCGGGGCAAGTAGCACGGGCTATGGTGAGCCCGTAGTGGACTTACAGGGCACAGGAGCGGGGCAAGTAGCACGGGCTATGGTGAGCCCGTAGTGGACTTACCTGGCACAGGAGCGGGACAAGTAGCACGGGCTATGGTGAGCCCGTAGTGGACTTACCTGGCACAGGAGCGGGGCAAGTAGCACGGGCTATGGTGAGCCCGTAGTGGACTTACCTGGCACAGGAGCGGGGCAAGTAGCACGGGCTATGGTGAGCCCGTAGTGGACTTACCTGGCACAGGAGCGGGGCAAGTAGCACGGGCTATGGTGAGCCCGTAGTGGACTTACCTGGCACAGGAGTGGGGCAAGTAGCACGGGCTATGGTGAGCCCGTAGTGGACTTACCTGGCACAGGAGCGGGGCAAGTAGCACGGGCTATGGTGAGCCCGTAGTGGACTTACCTGGCACAGGAGCGGGACAAGTAGCACGGGCTATGGTGAGCCCGTAGTGGACTTACCTGGCACAGGAGCGGGACAAGTAGCACGGGCTATGGTGAGCCCGTAGTGGACTTACCTGGCACAGGAGCGGGACAAGTAGCACGGGCTATGGTGAGCCCGTAGTGGACTTACCTGGCACAGGAGCGGGACAAGTAGCACGGGCTATGGTGAGCCCGTAGTGGACTTACCTGGCACAGGAGCGGGGCATGTAGCACGGGCTATGGTGAGCCCGTGGTGGACTTACCTGGCACAGGAGCGGGGCAAGTAGCACGGGCTATGGTGAGCCCGTGGTGGACTTACCTGGCACAGGAGCGGGGCTGTATCTGTCTTCCAAGACTCATTCATAACATGCGACCAGGAAATATAAGCTGGTATAGGATTAATTATATTTACATAATGCGGAGTTTTGAATGTATATTTTCAAGACAGTATAGGCCTATTGTGACGTTGCTTGCACATGTGTCAGTATCATACTAGATGTATGATACTGACACAAGGTTATAATGGTTTAAGATCCCTACTAATAAGGGTTCAAGATCCTTGTTAATAATGGTTTAAGATACCTACTAATAATGGTTTAAGATCCTTGTTAATAATGGTTTAAGATCGGCACTGGTCCTGAGAGGCGGATCACTCCCTCAACATGGCGGCCTTTACGACCGACCACAAGTCATCATATATAAGTTCTCCATCACTTAATATTTTTCCTTCACTCACGACTGTCTGATGTTTCTTCTCAGTAGGAGCGCCTCATGACTCATCTCACCCGCGGTAACCCAATTAGTTGTTGACGGTGGTGACCTCCCAGCTCAAGAGGGCGTCGCTCACGGGCGTGGTGCGGCCCCCCGCCCCCACCTGCGGCACGTGGTGTAGCCCCCGCCCCCACCTGCGGCACGTGGTGTGGCCCCCGCCCCCACCTGCGGCACGTGGGGGCGTGGTGTGGCCCCCGCCCTCACCTGCGGCACGTGGGGGCGTGGTGTGGCCCCCGCCCCCACCTGCGGCACGTGGTGTGGCCCCCGCCCCCACCTGCGGCACGTGGGGGCGTGGTGTGGCCCCCGCCCTCACCTGCGGCACGTGGGGGGGTGGCGTGGCCCTCGCCTGCGGCACGTGGTGTGGCCCCCGCCCCCACGTGCCGCAGGTGGACCACAGATTGTCTCACATCTCGCTACCGTTGTTGGTACATAACTGTATGTACCAACATACATGATACATAACTGTATGTACCAACATACATGATACATAACTGTATGTACCAACATACATGATACATAACTGTATGCACCAACATACATGATACATAACTGTATGCACCAACATACATGATACATAACTGTATGTACCAACATACATGATACATAACTGTATGTACCAACATACATGATACATAACTGTATGTACCAACATACATGATACATAACTGTATGTACCAACATACATGATACATAACTGTATGTACCAACATACATGATACATAACTGTATGTACCAACATACATGATACATAACTGTATGTACCAACATACATGATACATAACTGTATGCACCAACATACATGATACATAACTGTATGTACCAACATACATGATACATAACTGTATGCACCAACATACATGATACATAACTGTATGTACCAACATACATGATACATAACTGTATGTACCAACATACATGATACATAACTGTATGTACCAACATACATGATACATAACTGTAACATGCTCGTGTCCGAAGCTAGACACAAATACAGCAAAATTATTAATGATGGTAACAGTTCATTTCATGTGGTCTCCATCTCATGTTGGCCTCCATCTCATGTGGTCTCCATCTCATGTTGGCCTCCGAATGCATGATAGAGCTGATAAGTTAGCCAAAGAATCTGCCTTTAAAGGAGCCGTTGAGTGTAACCTTGGATTGTCAATGAGCAATCTGAGAGCAGCAGTACACCGAGAACTTCAACAAGATCTTGTAGATCTGAGGCAAAGTGAAATTGACACCAGTAATTCCATCTATCATCATACTATCATGCAAGAGGAGCCACACATCTATCATCATACTATCATGCAAGAGGAGCCACACATCTATCATCATACTATCATGCAAGAGGAGCCACACATCTATGGTTCATCCAATAAAATCAGCAGACTTCTAGATGTTACTACTGCTCGGCTTAGACTCGGTTACAAGTATCTCTGGGAATTCTCATTATCTGCCGATGTAGACCTGACCAAATGTAAACTGTGTCAACAAAATTATTCGCACACCCTCCGTCACTATGTGATGGAGTGCGAAAAGATACGTGAATTTAGAGACAATTCTATAACCAATGTTCCAGCGATGTGTCAATATTTCATTCAAAATGATCTGCTACCAGAAATTTTAGCCAAATATCCCCAGTTTGCTAACTGTAGGTAGTAACTGAGTGATTGTAACCTATCCACCGCTGCCCACTGGATGGGGGGCAATGTAACCTATCCACCGCTGCCCACTGGATGGGGGGCAGTGTAACCTATCCACCGCTGCCCACTGGATGGGGGGCAGTGTAACCTATCCACCGCTGCCCACTGGATGGGGGGCGTTGTGCAGGACAAACATATAAATTGTGACACTAGCTCTCCACACATGTCAGTTGCTTAATTTAGAACCTGTACTTGTGGTCGATCTCGAACCCATTGTTGATGTGACGACTTATACTGAATTTTGTAACTAGTTCATCAAGATTGTAACTTGCTTAGCTAAATGAATTGTGGGGTTCAGTCCCTGAGCCCATTATGTGCCTCTGTAACCCTTTCCACTACCGCCCACAAGATGGGTATGGGGTGTATAATAAATGAACTAAACAAAAAACGTTGATGGTTCTTCTTGTGGGGGATTCAATTGAGTCATATCAATTCTATATGACATGGAGAGACGCCCAGCGATGCTGACATTATTCTGAAGCAGACGACTGCTGTTAGTTGGCTGAGAGCTTTCCCTTCCCATAGCTCATGGTAAGCCTTACCCTACTAGTTTTACACACAGGAGGGTACAGGAGCAGACGACTGCTGACTCCTGTTAGCTGGCTGAGAGCTTTCCCTTCCCATAGCTCATGGTAAGCCTTACCCTACTAGTTTTACACACAGGAGGGTACAGGAGCAGACGACTGCTGACTCCTGTTAGCTGGCTGAGAGCTTTCCCTTCCCATAGCTCATGGTAAGCCTTACCCTACTAGTTTTACACACAGGAGGGTACAGGAGCAGACGACTGCTGACTCCTGTTAGCTGGCTGAGAGCTTTCCCTTCCCATAGCTCATGGTAAGCCTTACCCTACTAGTTTTACACACAGGAGGGTACAGGAGCAGACGACTGCTGACTCCTGTTAGCTGGCTGAGAGCTTTCCCTTCCCATAGCTCATGGTAAGCCTTACCCTACTAGTTTTACACACAGGAGGGTACAGGAGCAGACGACTGCTGACTCCTGTTAGCTGGCTGAGAGCTTTCCCTTCCCATAGCTCATGGTAAGCCTTACCCTACTAGTTTTACACACAGGAGGGTACAGGAGCAGACGACTGCTGACTCCTGTTAGCTGGCTGAGAGCTTTCCCTTCCCATAGCTCATGGTAAGCCTTACCCTACTAGTTTTACACACAGGAGGGTACAGGAGCAGACGACTGCTGACTCCTGTTAGCTGGCTGAGAGCTTTCCCTTCCCATAGCTCATGGTCAGCCTTACCCTACTAGTTTTACACACAGGTGTTTTGTAGAATATACACAGTAATTAATAATTTCAGTAACAGAACAGAGAAAGGTAATTGATTTTAAATAAAACGTTATCAAATTAAAAATGTCAATAAAATCTGATGAAAGCAACCCAACTCAGAACACTAATATTAAAACATATTTGCACTAATTAACAACATGTGAAGCAATTTTTGCAACCAAAAATTAATCATTTAATACAACCGAGGAGGAATATTATTTAAAGTATTATTCATATATCTTATAGTCTCCATTCTCTTATATTTCTACCGGAGGAGTAATTACTATAAGCCGAACTCTCTTCACTGGAGTCACGTGATCACTCAAACTTTAACAGCGAAACAAGGAATGAGAAGCTTGTTCAGTACGAAGAAAATATTGATGTTGTACAAGATATCTGGACAAAAGAGTTCCCTGCCTGACCATTACACACCTGATCACACTTCACGTGTGGCTGAGCACCACACACCTGCCACCACACACCTGCCACCACATTGTTAACTGTTGATACGTTTCTAACCACCATATTAATATTAAATTTCTTAAGTGTGGGGGATTTTTGTAACATTTTCTGTGGCGGGAATAATGAGTGAATTGTTTATAAGTCTCCCAAACACTTGAGAAATTTAACATTAATGTGGTCTTTAAAAATGGGTAAAGGGTTGAACAAGTCTTAAAATGCTGCCCCGGTCGTGGGTGTGGTGGTGGTGTTGTGTGGTTGTGTTGTGGTATAGTCATGTTGTGGTGTGGTGGTGTCGTGTAGTGATGTCGTGGTGTGGTGGTGGTGTTGTGTTGGTGTTGTGGTGTCGTGGTGTAGTCATGTGGTGGTGTGGTGGTGTGATGAAGGAATAGTTAACCATAAAACTGGAATGAACCCGGGTAAGGTGGTAAGACGGTCGTTAACACACCACTCCCACAGCACTGTGGTGTGGTGAGCCACTCATGGTGCAGTATAGTGCAGCATATATCACTGAGCACTGGGAAAATATTGCAATGAGCACTGGAAACGTAACACTGTGAACTGAAACATAGCGATGATCACTGAAGATATGGCACTGATCACTTGGAAAATGCAGCAGTGAGAACTATAAAATAACAGTGAACACTGGATAATACTACAATAATTACATACAATATACCACATTGAACACATAGCAATGAGTTCAAAAATAATAATGAGCTCTGGAAAATATAGCAGTGAAGACTATGCAACACAACAGTGAAGGACTATACAACACAACAGTGAGGGACTATACAACACAACAGTGAAGGACTATACAACACAACAGTGAGGGACTATACAACACAACAGTGAAGGACTATACAACACAACAGTGAGGGACTATACAACACAACAGTGAAGGACTATACAACACAACAGTGAGGGACTATACAACACAACAGTGAAGGACTATACAACACAACAGTGAAGGACTATACAACACAACAGTGAGGGACTATACAACACAACAGTGAGAGACTATACAACACAACAGTGAAGGACTATACAACACAACAGTGAAGGACTATACAACACAACAGTGAAGGACTATACAACACAACAGTGAAGGACTATACAACACAACAGTGAAGGACTATACAACACAACAGTGAAGGACTATACAACACAACAGTGAAGGACTATACAACACAACAGTGAGGGACTATACAACACAACAGTGAAGGACTATACAACATAGCAGGGCACCGTTGCAGTGTTGCCGGGCGAGGCAGCAACACAAGGGCTCAACAGTCCAACAAAAACTTGTATTACGGTCCGCTGACTGATGTTAATTATTGGGTCCTGGACACGAGGCAAGTGATTAGTCTCGATTGATGAATGAGTTGCGCTCGTTACTTGACCGGGGAAGTTGTTACTTGACCGGGGAAGTTGTTACTTGACCGGGGAAGTTGTTACTTGACCAGGGAAGTTGTTCCTTGACCGGGGAAGTTGTTCCTTGACCAGGGAAGTTGTTCCTTGACCGGGGAAGTTGTTCCTTGACCGGGGAAGTTGTTACTTGACCAGGGAAGTTGTTACTTGACCGGGGAAGTTGTTACTTGACCAGGGAAGTTGTTACTTGACCGGGGAAGTTGTTCCTTGACCGGGGAAGTTGTTACTTGACCAGGGAAGTTGTTACTTGACCGGGGAAGTTGTTACTTGACCAGGGAAGTTGTTACTTGACCGGGAAAGTTATTACTTGACCGGGGAAGTTGTTACTTGACCGGGGAAGTTGTTACTTGACCGGGGAAGTTGTTCCTTGACCGGGGAAGTTGTTACTTGACCGGGGAAGTTGTTCCTTGACCGGGGAAGTTGTTACTTGACCGGGGAAGTTGTTCCTTGACCGGGGAAGTTGTTCCTTGACCGGGGAAGTTGTTCCTTGACCGGGGAAGTTGTTACTTGACCGGGGAAGTTGTTCCTTGACCGGGGAAGTTGTTACTTGACCAGG